GGGGGCGGGGGGGGGGGGGACAGCGGCGTCGGGGGGGCGGCACTCACCTGTCCCTTGGGCCCCGGCTCTCCAGACTCGCCCTGCAGGGCCAAGGCGCCAGTCAGGAAGCAGTGGGGCCCCGACCTGCCCGCCCCTCGCGCTCGCCCCCACGCCCGCGCTCACCTTCTCGCCTTTCTCTCCCGGGAGGCCGGCCACCCACGGGTCGCCCTGCGGAGAGAGGAGCGCCGGTCAGACGCGGCCCGGGGCAGGGAGACTGCGGGGACCGCCCCCGACGCCCCTGCGCGCGACGTCCGGGGGCCGGAGAAGGGCGCTGGGACTCACCACTCCGCCGCGGGGCCCGATCTTCCCCGGGAAGCCCTGGAGAAACAGGGGCTTAGCGAGGGAAGGGAGCGCCCATGGACCCTCCTCCCTGCTCCCCCACATCCCTCACAATGCCAGACAGAGCCCCGGGGCGACAGATCTGGGCGGCCCGCCCCTCGCACGTTGTCAGGCCCTTCCCCAGGTATTTTCTAGCCGCGTTTGGTACCTTGTCTCCCTTGATGCCAGGCAAGCCTTGGGGCCCTGGAACTCCCGGTGCGCCCTGCTCCCCCTTGGGGCCCTAAGGAGAAAAAGAACCAGAGGAGCAAATGCAGTGAGGGGCTGGGATGTGTCCCCACCGCGGCTCAGCGGCCCTGCGCTCACCTGGCGTCCTTGAGGACCTGGCTGCCCCACCGGCCCCCTCTCACCCTGGTCACCCTGAAACCGAAAAAGAAGGTCAGGCGGGGCTGTCACCTGGGGCAGCTCTCTCCAGTCAGGCCCCTAGAGCCTGCGCGGTCCTGGGCTGGGCACCGGCCATCTCTGCTGTCACCAATAGGGGGCCCATTCCTCTCCTTCACAGGGAGCAGAGGCCCTGCCTGGGGAGGCCTCTCACCGAAGGTGGGTGGGCAGGACCCCTGGGCAGCACCCCAAGTGCTGGAGCTACAGTTCAGCTGCTGCCAGGGTCCCCAGGGAGGGGCCACCCTGCCAGGCACTTACCTTCTCCCCGATGACGCCCTGGGGACCGATCTCTCCTCGTGGCCCTGGCTCTCCCTGGGAAACAGACGGGGTTAAGCAGTGGACTGGCAGGACCCTCCCTTCCATACCTGGCCAAAGCCCTCTTGGGCCTCTACTCATTCATATCACCAGGGAGCCCTTCCCTGACCCTTGGGCCCTGCACTTGGCCTTCGTAGGCCCCAAGCCTTAGTTCTCATGCTGACATTTATCGCACGTCCGTCTCCTCCACGGGACTGTAAGCTGAGCAGAGACTGAGCAGAAACTGACTATCGGGGTCGAGTACAGTAGCAGGTACTCCATGAATGTTCGAGGAATGAATAAACGAATGAGTGACTTCCTGCTGGACTCAGCCTGCCAGGTCATGCCCCAAGACAGAACCGGTTCTTTTTTTTTTAGAGAAAGATTTTTGCTATAGGGCATGTGTGCTCACCAGAGAGACAGAGAGACAGAGATGATAGATGGAAAGCAAGAAATCATCCCCCCGGGGGATAGCAATGCCACAATCCCTTCTCCGGCCTCCTCTTGGGATTTTGGGCATGCATGCACATGCTCCCAGCGTGAGTTTTAAGCTGCCCTGTTCAGGACTCAAACCATGGTCAACTATGTGGGAGTCCAGCAATGTAACCACTATGCTATGCCATCTACTGGCCGCAACAGAACCAGCCTTGACTCTCACTGTGGGGGATTAGGCCCTGAACAGGGGAAAGGAGCTTCCCTGGGTCAGTAAGGCAGAGCAGGGCAGAGCCCGGGAACCCAGGGAACCCCAGGTTAGGACTCTTCCCTGCCCTCCACCCCCGCCTCATCCGAATGGAGGGCCCTTGGGCCTGGAAAGGCCAAAGCAAGAACCCCATGTCAGTGAAGGGGACTTACCTCCTTCCCGGGGGGGCCAGAAAACCCAGGGAGGCCCTGCTGGCCTGGCTCGCCCTGAAGGAAGACACAGTTCTCAGGTCAGTCTGGGTGACCCACTCAGGCTCTTGGCCTCAGGGACACCTACTGACCCTAAAGAGAATCTGGAACCAGATGCGTGGGCAGGGGAAGAGGGTGTTCTTGGTCGAGTCCTCTGGGTTCCACTAGTTTCTCTGACTTTGGAACCGTGTCATCCTGTCCCCACTGAACCAGGCTGGGGGTTGGGAGTGGCAAGAGGGAGGTGCTCAGCTCCCAAGGGACCTATGTCCAGGCTGAGCCTCTGAGCCTTGGGTGAGGCCTGCATCTTGCCATCCTTAAGCCATGCCCCAGTCCCTGTCCCCAACACCTTTGACCTCACCTTGTCTCCAGGGCCTCCTTTCGTCCCAGGCTGGCCAGGCACACCCTGCAGAAAGAAGGTGACATCAGCTTCTGCCTGGTGTGGGAGCCCCAAGCACCTGCTGCTTCGTCTCCCCTCCTGTTCTCTCTGCTCGTGGGAGCTGGATGGCAGAAGGCCCAGCCAGGGCGTCGTGACCTTGACTGTCCTTTCCAGCCCACCCCCTGAGCCTGCAGGATACAGGGATACGGAGAACGCCTGCCTCCCACAGCCTGCAGCCCGGGGGCAATTATGAGCATGTGTCTGCTCTGGCACAGGCCGCTGGGCGAGCACATGGAACAGAAGCCAGCGGGGGCCCAGAAGCACCCTCGGCCTCCCGTACTCCCGGCAGGCAGGTTCAGGAGACGGGTCTACGGGTGAGAGGGCACAGGGAAGCCGGGAAGGGTATTCCAAGCAGAGACCTAAAGGCGTGGAGGCAGAAAAGCCAAGGCTGTGTGGGGAAGAGCAGAGACCGGTGGGGAAGGGCAGGGGCTGATGAGGCAAGAGGGGTAGGCTGGGGCGCAGTCATGGCGGTCACTGCATGCGGAAAGAGCTGTGAGGGCCGGGACTGCATTTGTCCTGTTGGAACTGTGGCCCTGTAACTCAAGTAATCTATATTATTTATAAGATGGACTGAAAGATTTCCTCCTGGAGGCAACGGGGAGTTGTGGCAGGTGATTTAGTGAGGAAGTGGTCAGATTCTGCGTGGGCAACATGGAGGCTTGAAATGGAGCAACTGTTCAGATGATGCAGCTTAAGCCAGGCCAGGGCCTTGGAGGCGGCAGAGGAGCAAGAGCCCTAGCTATGTGGATTCCAGCCTCATCGGCCACTCGTGCCATCCTGGGGAGGTGGCCAGCACAGTGCCTGGACTCCCTGAAGCTGAGGATATGTGACATGGCCATGGGGCAGCTGTGGTGGCTCCATCTGACACTTACCGCTAGGCCTTGGTGGCCTGGGTTTCCTGGTCGCCCCGCCTGGCCTGCACTGCCCTGGGAAGGTCAGAAACCAGGGGTTCGGATTAGAGCTCCAGCTTCCCTTGAGCAGATAGGCAGGGTGTGTGCACAACCCCCACTCCCCAGGGTCGCAGCTCTCCCTTGAGCAGATAGGCAGGGTGTGTGCACAATCCCCACCCCCCAGGGTCGCAGCTCCCAGCCGGCAGATCACCATGATGGGCCTCAGGCCCTGACCTGGGAGGGGCCCTGGCCCTATCGCACCAGCAGTCCCCTCGCCTACCTTCATGCCGGGTGTGCCTGGGGTCCCATCCTTGCCATCGATGCCTGGGGGGCCCTGCTCAGGAGGAAAGTTCAAGGGAGACTCAGCATGGGGAGATGCCTGGGGTCAGGCCACCCACCCATGGCCCTTGGGAGTGGGTCTAGTCATGTCAGGCCCCCTCTGACGAGCTGGAGAGGGGAGCTGCAGTGGGAAAGTGATTAGGGATCCGGGCCATGGTCTTTCCTAGTGTGGACAGCAGTGACCCAGACTGCTACAAGCGTCCCACAACCTGTCCTCCAGCCTCACCCCTATCTACAGGGGAAGTCGCTGAGGCACAGAAAAAGAGGTTTCCTGAGGCTAGAGCCAGCTCGCCCACTGCAGAGTCCAGTCAGACTCCCAGGCTCCACTTCCTCTAGCGGTCTGGACGAACTACCCACACCCTGGCCTCTGCCTGTGGGCCAGGGCTCGGACTTACGGTTGCTCCCTTCGGGCCTGCTATTCCCTGGGGTCCACGAACGCCTTGGCCACCCTGCAAAGAGGATGGAGATCAGGTGACCTCCAGAGGCCCAGCCCCCTCTGGCATAGTCCACGCCATGTAGCAGCAGGACGAGAAGACCTTGGGAATGTCTCTCTGCCCTGGACCTCAGGGAAGGAGGTGGAGGTCAGTGCCACTGAGCAGCTGGATGGAGTGGGAGCCACACTCCCTGAGACCCTGGCCAAGGCCCTGACATCACTCAGGCGAAGAAACACCACTTGGGGCCGGCGGCGGCTGGCTGGGGCTGGGTGTGGGTCACGGCCTGAAGACCCTGTTGGGAGTGCCCACCTCTCTTTTTCTCTCTCCCGTGGAAGAAACAAGTTTTTTTTTAAAAAAAGAGAGAGAGAGAGAGAGAGAGAGAGAAAAGAAACACAACCACCGAAGATGATATATGGACACGTTTGGGCTCTTAATTTGAACAAGAACATGAAGAGCTGTTTTGGAAATAACTAGGGCAAACTGAGCAACGCTAGCTATTAGACGCCACTCGGAACAATCGTTCACTTTGCTCACTGTAATAATGAGGTGCTTATGTGAGAAAGGGTCCTTATTTATGCAGTCAGGAATGACACCATGCAATTTTTTTTTCCCTAGAGAGATTTTTGGTACAGGGCGTGTGCACTTGCTGGAGAGACAGAGAGACAGAAAGCGAGAAATCACCCCCTGTGGGGGAGTGGCCACGTCTCAATCCTTTCTCCTCCATTCTCCTCTCAGGATTTTTGGCACGTATGCACACATGCCCGGGAGTCCGGCAACGTAATATTATACCATCTGCTGGTCCGGACACCATGCGATGTTAACTTCTTGGAGCAGAGCTCCAGTGAATGGGGGAGAAGGGGTAGGTAAAGAGAGCATGGCGAAATCTTAGGAATGGTGCGACTATCGGAGAGGTGTATGGGACTTCAGTCTCCCCTACTTTTCTGTGTTTAAAAACTTGCATTGAAAAACTAAAAACATCTTGGGCCACTAGGTAGCACAGTGGTTGGGTCACTGGACTCCCACATGACCGACCAGACTTCAAGTCCTAGACCTGGCAGCTTGCTCTCTCTGTCTCACTGGTCAATTTGAAGAAGAAGAATAAATTAATTTAAATTAAAAAAATAAAACAGAAAGAACTCAGACCAGCTGGTAGTGTTGTGGTTAGGCTGACTGGATCCCACATGACCAACCACACAGTTTGAATCCCAGGCCTGGCAGCTCGAGAAACATGCTGGATGTATATGCGCACATGCCCAGATTGTGGAGAGGAGGATGGGGGCAAAGGGATTGCGGTGAGGCCTTTTCCCTGGGGGGTACTCTCTCTCTCTCTCTTCCTTGTGAACACATGCATTTTCTAGCAAATTTTTAAAAAAATTATTAAAAAATACTAAGAAAAGAATAAAAATAGCTAACTATACTGCCTATTCAATTTTTCTGTAAATCTAAAATTGCTCCAAAAAATTAAATAAATAGTCTATTAATTAGAGGGGGAAAAACAGTTAAGAGAACTGAGATACAGACCAAATCCCATTAGCCCCATGGCTGATTTGCTGGAATCCCATTGTCTGGCCCCAGGAACCATGGGACTGGACCCGTGGCTTCTCCCAGAGTCTGAATTTGGGCTGACAGGTCTCCCTGCACAGACGGCCCTCCCTCCCCAGCAGTCACCCGTCCCCGTGCACGCATGCGCACACACACCAGCCCTGGGCGGAGCCGAATGCTGCTCAGTGCTCCCAGGGGCCCTGACTGGACAAGGGGTACCCGAGGACTCACCACATCACCTTTCGCCCCGGCTCGGCCTGGTGGTCCCCTTGGACCTTCCTCACCCTGACAAGGACAAACAGGAATCCAGGTCATGCAGGCTCAGGGGGAGCCGCACCCACGTTGCGCCCTGCAGTTCCCTCTGTGGGTAGGGGTGGGGGGCAGGCTGGGCAGGGGCAGGCTTCCCGGGGGCCCAGCAGCGCCGACAGGCCCCACCATGCCTGTATACCCACGGGGACCCTGGGAGGAGAAAGGGTTTCAGACCAGTCCTGGCTGGACCCCAGAGGCCAGAGGGCCAGTCATGGCAGCTCTTGCAGGACAAATCCAGACTCACCGTCTCTCCTTTGGGTCCTGCCATGCCTGGGTAGCCCCTGATACCTTGGGGACCCTGTCAAAGCAGAAAAATGACAGCAATGGCAATTGCAAGCCAACTTCATGATGCTTTCTCAGACCCGACCCCAGTCTTCAGAGTGGTCCCCGAGGCGGGGTCCCATAGGTGGGACACCAGGGTCATTCAAAGGGATAGTGACAGAACCTGGGCTTCAGCTAGGCTTTCTGGCTAACAGCTTTGTCCCTGTCCCCTAATTCCCGATGGTCAGCCTTGGCCTCCCTCAGCCCACCCAGAAACACTCCTGTATGGTCACAGATGTCCCTCTGCAAGCTATGGGCCCAAGCAGGGGGCTGGCTCCTTTCTGAGCTCCTGGGACAAGGCAGCGGCCTGCCCCTGGGAGGCGCTCCTTACCGGTGGTCCAGGGATGCCTTGCTCTCCAGATGCGCCCACATCTCCCTTGGGGCCCTAAGGGATAGGGATGAGCTGTCAGATCGGCAGGTGGAAAGACATATATAAGAACAAGCCCAGCCAATGGCGTGGTGGTTAAGGTGCTGGATTTCACATGCTTGATTGCTAGCTTCAAGTCCCAGACCCGGTAGTTTGAAAAACACACCAAGCACATGATCATGTGTCCCCAGAATTCCAAGAGGAAATGAAAGAGAAGGGGTTGTGACATGGCCATCACCCCTAAGGAGTGCTTTCTTACTCTCCCTCTTTCTTTCTCTGGCTCTCCGACAAGGGCATGAGTCCTGTAGCACATTAATTAAAAAAAAAAAAAAAAAAAAAGATACCATTGCCCTTCCCTGGTGCTATAGCTTGAATGTGCACCTCCAAAAATCATGTTTCAAGCCACCATGACGAGATTAAGGGCGTGAGACCTTGATCCAATTATGGCGTGGCAAGACAGGGCCTTTGTGAAGAGATGAGTGAGTGGGAGGTAGGAGAGGCCTGTGAGCGCGTCCTGATGGGTTTAGGGAGAGGACATGAGGCAGGCAGGAGCCACGTGGGACACAGGCCACCCTCTCCTGCCTGCTGCCCGGTTGAGGCAGCCAAAAAGACCCCGCCAGAGAGGGCCCCTCGCCCCTGAGCCTCCAAACCACACGCTGAACAAACCTCTCCTTGATGAATCACCCAGTTTCAGGTATTTCTTGTTACCAGCAATGGATGGGTAAGAACACCCAGCAAGAGCAGACAGGAAAGACCCGAGAGACCATGTAGGGTCCATCCATGTCGCAGATGGAGAAATTGAGGCTGGGCAAGAAGGGACTTGTCCAGGGACATGCTGGGCTGCGACATGCCTCCTGCCTCCCAGCCCAAGACTCTGTCTCCCTAAACCCACAGGCAAGGGGGAAGGGACAAAGAAAGGGGCCTTTCCACCTACCCCCATCCCACGACCCTCACTCACCGGCTTCCCTTGACGGCCAGGCTCTCCCAGAACCCCGCGTTTGCCTGGGTGTCCCTGAAGGGAAGAACTCAGAATGAGATCCCCAACCCATCACCAGCCCCTTCTGCCAAGAATCAGGCTGAGAAATCTCACCTTCACTCCCTGCAGCCCCGGGGGGCCTTTCACACCTGCTGGGCAGTTGGTTGGACACTGGAAAGAAAAGGCCAGAGGGCCCCGTGATCAACAGCCTGGTCTGGCCAGCCGGGCAGTACGTCCCCATCTTGCCAACCTCAATGCCTCCTCTGACCTCACCTGGCTGGACCTCTCTACCAAGGCCCTCCCCCCTACACCCCCACTCCCGTTGCCACTGACCTCATCTGCAGGCCACCCCTCCACCAGACCCAATCCCTCCCTGCATTCACACCCTCCCCCACCCTCGCCCGCCTCTCCCTCTCACCAGGAAATCCGCACTGCCTTCCAGGCCCTGGATGGTTCCCGGGCGACCCTGAGAGGAGTAGTGTGAAGATGGAGCCTGACCTGGCCCTTCCCATCCCAGGCATCCTCCTTCCCAGGAGCATGTGGCCACACAGGTGATCTGAGGACACTTACCGGTTTCCCAGGTGGTCCTGGGGGCCCCGATGGTCCCTCTGGTCCTGGATCTCCCTGGAAGCAAGAGGGCCCCAAATCATGCCCTTGTCAGCCCTGCCCAGGTTCCCCTGCCAACTTCTGGTTCCATCCACTGCCCTGCCCTCCCTGCCCTCCAGGTAAGCTCCGGAGAGATCACCATGTCGGGGAGAGCAAGGCCTGCCGGCAGAGGAGGGGCCAGCCCTGACCTCCCTGAAAGACCTCCTACAGGATGGGCTCTGCAGGGGGCCTCTGTCCTGGACCTGGGGGACTTCCAAAGCAGAAGCAGGCCTGGGGCTCCAGGGAGACCACCCCGGCTTGCCGGCTAGGGTGACAGAGGGCAGGAAGCCGAGGGAATTGGCAGGGGCTCACCTTGGGGCCTGGGACTCCAATCTCTCCAGGGAGGCCAACAGGTCCGGGTGGTCCCTGGGGGGCAGAGATACGGATGGCCAGGACGCCGCAGAGGGTCAGCCCACCCCAGGTCCCTACCCCACGTGAAGAGGCATCCACGTCCTCTTCTCCACCCTTGTTTTCTCCACCCCCAGAGAGACCAACAGTCTGGGCTCCAAGGACCAGAAAACTCCAGTCAGTGGGCAGGCAGGGTGGCCCAGTGTGTCTGGCACGCCCGCCCTGTCGGCACTGTCACAGTGTGCTGGCCCTCCCCGTGGTGGCCATGTCCCGGGAGGCCCTTCAGTTGTCCCCACCACCTGTGGAAGCCCTGCCCATCCCTGAGGACTTACGGGAGGTCCAGCGAAACCAGGGCCCTGGAATAAACAGACAGAAATTGGGTTCCTGGCCCCCTCCCCAGGGCCCCCGCCCACAAAAGCCCCCGGAAGCCTTTGCAGGTTGTACTCACTGGCAGGCCTGGGGGACCTGGGAGCCCAGGCTGGCCCTGCAAGGATAATGGGGAGGTTTAAAATCAGGTGTCCTGGGCTCCTGTCCCCCTGCTGTAGCCCTTCTCAAACTCTGGCCCTAGATTGCTTGCGCTGAGTCCCCAGCAGCCACTTGCCTTGACTCCGGGGGTCCCCACAGGGCCAGGCTCCCCCTTGGCTCCAGTTAAACCCTAGGGAAGAGAGAGAAGGCAGAATCAGTGAGGGCCAACCTGCCCCCTGACCCGTGAGGCAGGGCAGGCCCGGGGCTCTCTCAGGTACGGCCCAGCTCTCTTTCACAGCACCCTTGAAGGCGCAGGGACCTCACCACCTCCCCTTATTCCTTTCCTGGTTCCCACACTAACCCCGGAGGCAGAGAGGCAGAACAAGTATCTTTTTAAAAAATTTGCTTCAAGGTTCGTGCACTCACCAGAGACAGAGAGAAAGAGAGAAACAGAGACAAAAGGAAAGTGAGAAAGCATCCCCATGAGGAACGGCCACGCTGCAATCCCTTATCCTTCACTCTCCTCTTGGGATCCTGGGCACACACGCATATGTGCCACACTGGCCACGTGGGGTCCAGTGCCTTACCCTCCAGGCCACCGGCTGGCCCACAAGTATTCTTTTTTGAAAGATGAGAAACCAAAGCTCAAAGCTTTTCAGCTCAGACTGTTCAGGAATGCAGAAGGCCCAGACACGGGTCTGGATTGGCCATTCGCTTAATGTCTACTCTTGGCAACTTCTCCCAAACCTTAGTTTTCTCACCTACAAAATGGGTTCATCTCTGGGAGGACGTGGGATCTGAGGGGCTAGGAGAAGGCAACGTGCCTCGTAATCTTCAGGGATGTGGTTGGGTTTGGAGGGGCCCTGGTGGCTGACCCAAGTGTATCCCCTACCACATGGCAGTCCTCAAGGCCCTGTGAGCTTGGGGGTCTTGGGAGCTCGACAGTGTCAGCTAAATGATATTCCTCGCCTGAGGCTGCTGGGGGAGGGGAGGAAAGGGAAGAGGAAGGAAAGGGCAGGGACACAAGGGCACGCAGCATGTCCCGTCTGATCTTTGGAGGCAGCAGTGTGAGAACAAGTCCTAACAGCCACTGACAGGCAGGACAGCCCTGCGCCCCCAGGGAGCAAGGTCTGGACCCAGTTGCCTGTTAGAGCTACCAGGGTGGTTGTGAGTTCCAGGGAGGCCCTGAGTCATGTGAAGGTGAGGGGCTCGCCGCTGACGACCCCGCCCTGCTGCCCACCTCTGGGCAGGTCAGTAAAGTCCCCAGAACGGCTCTCTGGACGTGGACAGGCCGAGTCCCGCCAGCCTGACCCTCAGTACTCACATCAATCCCAGGCTTCCCATCCGGCCCATCTGGCCCTGCTTCTCCAGGATCTCCCTTGGGTCCCTTGAAAACAGGTGGAGCAAATATTAGCCAGAAGAGGCCAAGAATGGAGAGGGTGAAAGGTCAAAGGGGGAAAAGAACTCACCGGAGGACCAGCTTTCCCAGGGGGCCCCTTGTCGCCCTGCAAGAGACAAGCTGGTGAGACAGCGTGTCCAGCTTGTGCTACCCTGAGTGAGCGCCTCCGGGCCGTGCCCGGCCAGTCCCAAATGCTCCTCTCTTCACGCTCCTCTCTGTGCTGGCCCCCTGCTTCGCTCTCTTTAGGAAAATAGCTCTCCTCCCACCCTCCCAAAAAAGCAAAACCATGAGTGTGTCGAGACCCATCCCGGCAGAGCTGGAGAGGGTGATAACACGCAAGTGGGGGACAGAGGACAGTGGACAGCAGTACAGTGGTCAAGTCGACACTCTGCAAGCCTGACCCATGTGGAGAGGTTCCGAGTTCGCAACCCAGAGACCTCTCTGAGTAGCCGGCACTATTGCCCCACTATCCAGGGCTGACTGAGGCTGGGAGGGGGTGAATCATGGCATCAAGACCCTGTCCAAGGTGCTGTATCTCTCTCTCTCTGTCTCCTTCATGAAAGAGAAAAATAAATAAACTTTTAAAAGAGAGATTCTTGCTATAGGACTCTCCCTAAAGAGATAGAGAGACAGAAAGTGAGAAATCACCCCCCCCCCCAGAGGGATGGCCATGCCGCAATTCCTTCTCTTCCATTTCCCTCTGGAATTTTGGGCATGAATGCACAGGCATCCTGCGTGAGTTTTAAGCCACCAGGCCTGGGACTCAAACTGCGGTCAACTATAAGGAAATCCAGTGATGTAACCATTAGGTCATCTGCTGATCTGAAGAAACTTCTTTTTTTTTTTGGAGAGGTTTTTGCTATAGGGCACGTGCGCTCACCAGAAAGACAGAGAGAGACATAGAGACAGAAAGTGAGAAATCACCCCCAAGGGGGATGGCCACACCACAATCCCTTCTCCTCTCGGGATCTTGGGCATGCACACACGTGCACCTGGCATGAGATTAAGCCACCGGGTCTGGGACTTGAACCACGATCAGCTACGTTGGAGTCCAGCAACATAGCCATTACACCAACTGCTAGTCCAGAGAAACTTCTTTTTTTAAACAAGCAATTTGAGTTTAGACATGCCACGTTGGTGAGGTGCCAGTTATGAGACTTGCAAATGGGACCAGGGCTCTGAGCCATCTCAGAAAGCTGATGCCTCTTGGGTTTGCAGTAGGAAGAAGGGGAGGGGAGGGGAGGAGGTGGGCAGAGGCCCTGTTCTGGAATGTGGGTCAGGTACTCAAGAAGCTGAGACAGGAGCAGGGGCAAAAACCGAGATACCCATAGGGAATTGATTCAACGTGTCCCCAAAGAAGGGAGGACCTCTTTCCCCAGTGACAAAGGACTCTCCGTGAAGGACAGGCCGGTGGAGTCAGCCCCAGCCCCAGAGAGGCCTCCAGGCATTTCAGAGCCTGCAGGGGCTCTGGCGGGGGCCCAGAGGCCTGTTTAGGGGCTGGGGAACTGCGCTGAATAGGAGTCTGTCCAGACGGTAAACAGGGGCCGACCTCCTGGGGGAGCCTGCAAGAGGCTTTAACCCTCACCACGCTAGCCAGGGCAGCGAACAAGCCCAGCTCCTATCTCCAGGAGAGGAGTCTGGCCCCAGCTGCTCAGTGGTCAGCCAAGGCTCCGAGCTCCCTTGACATGCCAGGGGCAGGGCGCGGGGCTAAGGCGTCTCTGACCCCAGAAGGAGGGCAAGGACGGGAGGGGAGAAGGGCTCGCTGTACACCGTGGCCGCCCCAGAACAGCAGCTCCTTGTACGAGGGCGGCGGTGGCGGGCTCCGCATTTCAGGGCCGGTTTGAGGTTTTTGCAGAACAAACGGGCTCCTTGTGGTGCGGCCTATTGGCGGCATCCTTTGTCCGCTGCTGCCCTCCCCCTCCGGCCCCAGGTTAGAGACTCACGTCGATGCCGTCTGATCCGGGAACACCTGGAGGCCCCGGAGGACCTGGAGGTCCGGGCTCTCCCGGTGGGCCTCTCTGAAAACACACGCAGGGGTGCAGCCCTCAGACAGTGCAGGGAGGTGCTCCTCCCGGGGGCTGCAGGGGTCCGAGGTCCTCGGGGCGCACCTCCCGGGAGGAAAGGGAGCCCCGCAGCGAACGGCCCCGCGGGTGTATTGAGAACCGCGCGTCCGCGGAGTTCGAGCCCTGAGGCCAGGGCTGCTCCCGCCCCCGAGCTCAGAAAGACTGCCGGCCAGGGTCGCCGAGTGCCAGGCGCAGCGCGGTTCGTCCCGGGCTGCCCGGTTCCTTCCACGCCACCTCGGGGCCCTTGCGCTGGCGTTGGGGACAGCGGATGGAGCTGCCAGGTTGGAATGGGTGACAGACGGCGTGGGAGGAGGGCCCCGCGGTCTCGGCCCTGGGAGAACCGCAGCCGACTTCAGAGGGATGGAGAGCAGCGCCCGCCCGTCCCCGGGGCACGCGGGCCAAGTGGGTCCTCTTGCCCTCGGGGCAGCGCCGCCGCCCGGGCCT